TTATTTTAATTACTTTTTTCCTAAAACAAACAAACAAAAAGCCCCAACCATTTCTGTTGCACAGTCACCTAAAATCAGCTTTTATATATGCACAAAAATTTGCCATCTTTTCTAAAAGGGCTGCACTAAAATGAGAGGCAATATTCCTGGAGTCTATCTGAAGGTGGAAAAATTGGTCAAGACTTGACCAACATTCCGCTGCAACTGCAAATGTACCTAACTAGTTAATATTTGAGTATTGTGATCTGACAGGAGATTCACAAAGATTAGGTAAAACATTCAAATTTGGTTCTTTGGGCAAGAAAGTGCTAAAGAGGTGAAAACTATCACCAGAGTTGCTAGTGAGAACCCTAAAAATCAGAATTTAGCCTTATATAATTTTCAGTAAGTGAGGGTTTTTAAAGACCTCAGAGTTCCATAAAATGCCTGAGACTTTAGATCTTTTTATTTGTACTAAGTTAGCACTATAGTTTAGACATGCTTGATTTTCTTAAAACTAAACTTAGAACTTTGTGCAAATATAACAGAAGAGACATTTTATACTGACTGAAATCAACAACTTAAACTCATTTCATTTTCCAGTTCTTCTCTGAAAAATATACAAAACCTGAATTTTTATCACTTCAATGACAAACAGCAAAACCTGCTTTTCTTTTATTGGCATTATACAGGTAGGATAAATATTTCTCTTTCTGAGGATTCAAAATGGCTTTATAAATATGATGCCCATTTATCTAGCTCTGATTCAAAGGACTGGAAAGTTTACTAGACAGTGTCTGTAACGATGTGATCACAGGAAATATTAGTGTCACATATGCAAACAAACTTAAGGCAGACACAGGTGCCACATCCAGCTGCTGGAAAACTGCAGAAGAGTTCAATGAAAATGACATCCCTAAAAATATCGATAGAAATATCCATCATCACTTGTACACGTAAAGTAAAAAAAAAAATTCACTTCTTTCTTAATTCGAAAGGTCCTCTGTGATTGCTCAGAAAGAAATTTATGGGCAATTCTGCTTCTTCTAGCATACCTTATAATGGAATTTACATTTTTAATGGTTTAATGGTTTCATTGAAAGATTGGACAGAACTCCCAGAATTCATTTAATTCTCATCTGTAAAAGTAGCACCACTTTTGGAGACTCAGGTCTGGAGAGCAGGTACCTTTGCTTAAGGGATGCAAAGGGACAAGGGAAGACTGGGATTGCAATAGGACTTATCAGAAAAGCTAAATCCATCCCTCAAATTTAAGGCATTTATTTTTACTAACACAAGCAAGGACTATTTCCACATAAATCTTAAGTCTTTAGAAGTACAAGAGAGACAAAACAGAAAAACAACCCCCGCACTTTGAATTTCTGGTGCATTCTTATGATTATAAATATCAAAGTAACAAAGTAATGAAGGGTAATGTGATAAAATACAATGTCTGAAAGTTACCCTGCAACACTTAGATAATCTGCCACTTACACTGCACTTAAATGTGGATTTAGTCTGCATGACTTAAAATTTAGTCTGCAGCCCGAAACCTCAAGTGTGCTGGGGGAAAAGCCCAACACAGAAGAAAAAACAGAGCTGAAAACATATCAAGATTGGTTTAAGAAGATTTTTTTTTCCCTTCATTATTATGATCAAATCAGTTTTACATAAGCAGAAAGAACTTTCTTGTAAGGGCATTCAAGCATCAAACACTGCACAACTGGACAACAGCAGTTTACAAAACACACCCAAGCATAACAGACACAAACCTCGTGTACCTGGATGGACTCGGATGAACATGGACAAGAGGGTGGTGTGAACTTTACATTTAAAGATTCACAAAAAGCTTGTTTCCATCATACCACAAACTTTTTTCCATTTGGTGTTGCAAGCTTTCCTGGAAGTTGGGTTTTCAGTAAGCCAGGAGGAACCCAGCCAACTGCTCAGATAGACACCATACTTAGATGTCTCAGCAGTTCTGTAAACATTTGGAGAATGCCAGTTATTGCCCTTAAGATTGCAATTTGATTGTTCCTCTGGACCAGAAATATGCTTTCCAGCATAACTGTATTTTGGCACCTCCAAACCAACGTGGCTATCATCAGCCTGACACCACAGAAACAGCCAACAGTGCCTAGGCAGGAAGATTCTTCACCAAACTCTGGCAGTATTTGTGTCACTTGGAAAGAAACACAAAGTTGGCCTAACAGTCCCTGGTGTCAAAGACATGCAGAAAACCCTGAAGGAGCCTGTAATTAATATAAAGAACTTGAACTGCATTGAGAGTTCTAGTGAGGCATGGGCCAATCAATGTCTGCAAATCACGGAATCAGAGAATATCCTGAGTTGGAAGGGACCCACAAGGATCATTGAGTCCAGCTCCCGACTCTCCACAGGACCATCCCCAACAATCCCACCATGTGCCTGAGAGTATTGTTCAAACACTCCTTTAGCTCTGTCAGCCTTGGTGCTGTGCCCACTGCCCTGGGGAGCCCATTCCAGTGCCCAACCACCCTCTGGGGGAAGAACCTTTTCCTAATATCCAGCCTAAACCTCCCCTGACACAACTTCAGGCCATTTCCTCGTGTTCTGTCACTGGTCCCCACAGACCAGAGATCAGTGCCTGCCCCTCCACTTCCCCTTAGGAGCAAGTTGTAACTGCAGTGAGGTCTCCCCTCAGTCTCCTCTTCTCCAGCTGAACAGACCAAGTGCCCTCAGCCACTCCTCACACAGCTTCCCCTCAAGGGCCTTGAGGAAGTTTATGTATGACCCTGACAGAAGCAAATGTGTCCCCAGGTATGTTCAGTTTTCAATAATTCTAAGTAGAATTAAACTTGAAGGAAGCCTTAAACTTAACTATAGCAATGATCAGTAAATGATTTGGATAAAAACATATCCAAAGGTGACAGATCCTATTTTGATGCTCATTGTCTCAACGGGGCGTGTACACAATCCATCTACCTCCTCAACTCAGCTACAGTAAGACACCCTCTCAGCTTTAAGGTAATGTCCCAGGCTAACAGCAGAAGGCATTATTGGTGCAGTTCTTCACAAGGACATGTTGAGGCACAGAGCACACAGATTAATCTCCTAGTCTCCTGTATTTAATTGTCTCCCTTTCAAAATAGCACCAGACTCTCAAGAATCTCTTTAAGAGGTTCCGAAAAAGGCTTTGGGATTATCTACTATTCATTGAGCATCCAGGCATCACCTGTTTGAACAGTACTGTGATTTTGTTACAACACCAGCACCAACATTTACCTTAGACATTCAATCCATGGATGTGGAGGTACTCAGAACAAAGTCACACGTTTAAAAAATGTGCACGGAAGAGCAAAAAGAAAAACAGCCAGAAAGCAGAATGACCAGAAAGCAAAGAGAGCAAAAATAATTAAGCAAGTCTATTGAGAGAGGTGTTCAAGCACTGTGACAGAAATTACCCAAAGCTCTACTAAAATACTGCAGTGAGGTGGCAAAAGATGCACTCACGATGTGCAGTTCGTAGGCAAAAAGGAATTGCTAAGATAGGAAAGGAAAATTGCTTATAAACTGTAGTGTCCTGAGAAGAACCAAAGCTGCAGTAAGAGTTCAAGAGTATCCCACTGAAGCCTCTCCTCAGGTGAGATATCAGGAGGACACAGTCCACTCTACTGTACATATCAGAAGCCTCAAAAATTAATCTGTTTAAAGACCAGATTTGTAGAAAGTGTTTTAGATGCCTGAAGATTCAGAGAGATCTTCAGGAATACTTCAACACCTAACTCCATTTATAGTAACAGATATTAGGCACCTCTGAAAAATCAGACTAGATAGTTCACCACAATTAATGACTCTGGACAATGTTTGAAAACTTGGCCATGTACAGTTCGCTCTTGGAAAGCGAAGAAACAGAGAACTCGCAGCCAGGACTTCCCAACCTCTGGGCTAGAGAACTAATCACAGGGTTTGCCTTCCTGTTGACAGGGACACCAATTTTCTGGTGCAGGGAAAGCAGGCAGGCCCCTGCTACTCCTCTAAACTACTTCTAAAATCCCCTTTTGCAGCGACCCTTACGCCACATCACTAAGAACAGCCACCACCGCACACGGGTATCTGTGCTGTGGCACAGGGAGGGGCTTGGAGGAGGAGTCAGGCAAGTGAAGGCAGGAGAAGGCAGGTGAACTGCGGCACAGGGAGGGCTTGCAGGAGTCAGGCAGGTGAAGGCAGAAGGCAGGGAAGTGGAGGCGGGGGGAGGCAAAAGGCAGGAGAAGGCAGGAGAAGGCAGGAGAAGGCAGGAGAAGGCAGGAGAAGGCAGGTGAAGGCAGGTGAAGGCAGGTGAAGGCAGGTGAAGGCAGGAGAAGGCAGGTGAAGGCAGGTGAAGGCAGGAGAAGGCAGGAGAAGGCAGGTGAGCTGGGGCACAGGGAGGGCTTGTAGGGGGAGTCAGGCAGGTGGAGGCAGGCAAAGGCAGGGAGAGGCAGGTGAAGGCAGGTGATGGCAGGTGGAGGACGGTGGAGGAAAGTAAAGGCAGGGGGAGGCAAGTGGAGGCAAGTGAAGGCAGGGGAACGCAAGTGATGGCAGGTGAAGGCAGGGGGGGCAGGGGGAGGCAGGTGGAGGCAGGTGAAGGAGGGAGAGGCAGGTGATGGCAGGTGAAGGCAGGGGAAGGCAGGGGAAGGAGGGGGAGGTAGGTGATGGCAGGTGATGGCACGGGAAGGCAGGTGGAGGCAAGTGAACTCGGAGCTGGCGGGGACCACCACCCGCACCCACTCTCCGGCCGGGCTGTACCGCCCGCCGCACGCCCCCAGCTCCGTTCCCGCATCCCCGGGGCGGGCAGGGCGGGGATCCCGCCGGGAGCAGCTCCTGCCCCGGTCGGGGCTGCCGGGCGGCCCCTGCGGAGGCGGCGGGGGGCGATTCCCGCTGCCTCTCCCGGCGCTCCTCACCCGGATGTGCATTCCCGGCGCTCCCCGCCCGCCTCCCGAGCCCGGGGTCACCTTGGAGCCTTCGACCCGAATTGTCTGTCCCCAGGATGGGTTTTTCCTCACCTCCTGTGAACGTAACTGATGTCGTCAGATAACTTCTACAATAGGAGTTGCTTAATGAAGGAAAGAACCTTGTGTTTGGGGCATTGCGTAAGATTACATCACCCAAATAAATATGCATTAGGTAGGCGGGGAATGTGTATTAGATAGGCGGGATCATGTGAATTTCAGTGTATAAATGGTGCGACTTTTTACGCTTTGGCGCGTTCGAGTTGGGGAAACCTTCGCCTTGCGCGCTGGGCAGAATAAATAATGTCTCTTTTCTAAACCAGACTCTGTTTCCGTGTTTTGAGGGCTCCTAAAATCGGCAGCAGCCCCCACACCCCGGCGCAGGGTCGCGGGGAGCGGCTGCTTGTCCCCGACCCGGCTCTGCATCCTCCCTTCCCGGGGCAGCCACGGGAACCCGATGCCGCTGGAATCGCCGCCTGGCGCCGGTGTCGGAGCCCTGGATGGAGCCTTTGCCCCTTTGGTTCTCGGGCGGTGGTTGCTCAGCAGCACCGGCTGCCTCCCTTCCGTGTCAGCCTGGAAAACAATCACAGAATCCCTAGGGTTGGAAGGGACCTCTGGATATTGTCTAGTCCAAACCCCCCCTGCCAAAGCGGGGTCACCTGGAGCGGGTGACACAGGAACGCGCCCAGGTGGGTTTTGGATGTCTCCAGAGAGGGAGAATCCGTGCCCTCCCTGGGAAGCTGGCCAGTGCTCTGCCATCCTCGATGTAAAGAAGTTCTTCCTCGTGTTGACATAAAACGTCCTGTGCTTTAGCTTATGACTGTTGCTCCTTGTCCTGTCGCTGGGCACAACTGAAGGGAGTCTGGCACCATCCTCTTGGCACCTGCCTTTGAGATATTTATATCCATTAATGAGATCCTTTCTCAGTCTTTAGACTAACCAGGCCTGGCTCTCACAGTCTCTCCTCATCAGAGTAGTGCTCCAGACCCTTCATCATCTTTCTGATCCTTTGTTGACCCTCTCCAGTAGCTCCATGTCTATCTTGCACTGAGAAATATTGAAACAAATCAGGAGCAGGCCGGGCAGTGAAGATCACACCAGCCCTGGGGCTGGGCAGGAGGAGATAAGCCTTTGTGTCCTCTGAGCAGTTGCTGCAAGGTGCTGAGAGGTCGTGGCATAAAGTGGCCAAAAAAAGGGGAAGCAGCCAAGTCATGAATAACACACCACACTGGGATGAACCGGGGAAACAACTGGTTCATTTCACTACTGAATCTGTCTTGTGAACACAACACTGTCAGTACCTAACAGAATACTTACCTAATGAGCGGTACATTAAAAGGCATAGAATGAAAAAAGTTTAGAATTATGGTGCTGGAACAGTATCCTGCAGCAATTTTCATATTCCATACTTCGTGAAGAAACTTAAGATCCCAGAATCACAGCATGGTTTGGATTGGAAGGGACTTTAAAGATCATCCAGTTCCAACCCCCTGCCACGGACAGGGACACCTTCTGCTAGACCAGGTTGCTCAGGGTCCCATCCAACCTGGTCTCAAACACTTCCAGGGATGGGAAATCTACCAGCTTCTCTGGGCAACCTGTGCCAGGGCCTCACCAAAATATTAGTAAAAAATAAAAAGATATGATGGTGTAGGCTCTGTGTCCCATTACACCTGACTGCAGAGTTCCCAAAATTGCTATAGAACGTGATTTTTTTTGTAAATAACATACACCTCTATATCTTTTTCCAAGCTATGCTATGCAAAAAAAAAACAAAACAAAAATTTTGCCTAGACATTACAATATTTGACAGTTTGATGGAAGTTTCTGAAATATTCATCCTCAGCAACCAAAAACAATTAAGGGCTTGTCTTCTGCATTAGTTAATCTTCTACCGAAGTATTATCCCAGCTAAAGACCATTATGTAGGTCAGCCAGATGGTAGAATTTCTTCTTGGTTGTAAAAGGGGAAAAAAATCTCACTAAGAAAACCTTTTCAATATTCTATATTGATAACATTATTAATAATAATTCAAGAAGTTCTTTAAAGTTGTAGTGAGTAGTTCACTGGTTGGTTTCTGTAATACTGAAAGTGATCATTCAGATTCTCAGAACCTCAGGAGATTCTTTCTGGGGTGGTTTTCAAAAGACCAAAAGACCTGCTCTTGTTTTGTCACTAAACTGAGGATTTCATTTTTTTTGACTATCAAGATATTATTCACTTTGTACAGATTAATGCAAATTTCTCTTACTGAAGGCAGTAATCCTAAAGTATGTTACGTTTATAGTCAATGTATTCTGTTTTTCAACTCTGTAACGTGTTCCTTTTCTATTTTAGAGTTTGCTATGCTGTTTTTGCAGAAGGAATAAACATTTTCTGGGCAAAAAGCCAAGAAAAAGTAGCTCTTACCAAGCTAAATTAGGTAATTACAATTTCACTGTGTCTTTAAAGCACAGCTGTGTCTTTTGGGTTGTAAGAATTAGTATATAATACACCTAACTTTACACTTTTCTTCATATGTAAAGGAAAATGTCCCCTCCAGATGCAGACTCATCTAAATAGCCCATTTTCTCCATTTTGAAGTGAAAGTAAATGCATTTTTGAAGTAAAAGTAGATGCATTTATTATTATTATTATTATTCCTGAGTTTAATGTTTTATAGTGGCAATTATCAGACTTCTCTTACTTTTTCTGTGTCAGAATTTGGTAGGTGAGAAAAAAATAAAAACAATTCTGTTTTGATTTTCCATGAAAATGATTGCATTAATTTTGTATCTCAACACTTTTCAATGCTGTTTTAGTGACAGGTGATAGGTATCAGTGAAAGATGACATAGAGCTACTCTATCCTTAATTCATGTATCAGCAGCATGAGAGCAAAGTGTCCCTAATATACTAAAACAGTTCCAAAAAGAATCCAAATATTAAGGATTTTCATGTACAATAATATTTAGCTTGTCCAAAAATCAGTTCCAACATCTCTTCTGCACAATTTAGATTTTTGTAACACAGGCCTCTATCTCTGGTTGGATTTTTTTGCTTGATCGGGTTTTTTTAAGCCTATAATTTTCTAAATATTTGTATTTTTGGTTTCCTTGGGGTCTGATGTGGTTTTGTTTTGGTAATCATCTTCCCTGCAGAGTTGCCACACTGCAGCCCTTGAAATAAGCTGCTATGGGTGAATCTACTTTGACTTTTCTTCAGCTGACCTGTCTCAAGGCCCACATCAGTTCATTTTGAAAATCTACCTGGATAATGCTCCTTATATTTTGGGAGTATTTCCTACTGTGATGCACCCCAAGTAAATAGACCTAAATTTTCTTACTAACTACAACATTTTCTTGGTAACATTGCAGGTCATTGAATGCCCCAATTTGAACTGACCATCACTATAAATTAGTGGTATCTTTCCAAAGCAGAACTGATTCTTCACAACCACCATACTGAAAAACTAAAAGGTGAAGAAACAAACAAAAACAGAAAAATCCATTTGTCTCTCTCACTCTCAGACTCATTCCTTGAAGCCTGAGTTTGACAATTTAACAAGTGTAAATTCAGCAAGTAAAGAAAAAGTAAGAGGAGGAAACACTTTGCAAACTGATTACAGCTTTTAAAAGGAATTGGGAAGAAGAAGCTCTGCGGGGGGGGGGGGGTTATATTTTGACTTAAGCTTGAATGTTGCAATTAGCAAAAGATTGATTGTTTATGTTTGGTAGCTGTACTCAGCTTCAAACTATGTTCCTCTCTAGAGCTTTATGAACTATGAAAAAGACCTTTCATAATACTTCGATTGCTGAAAAACAGAAGGCCCAGCATAATTCCACCCAGAATAGCTTGAACCAATCTAAGACCAAAAAACTTCTTAATTTAGGCTGAGTGTTATTGTTATGTCTCCTAGAGAGCAAAGTTTATGGAGATTCCTGTCAGTTCTAGAACTTTTTTTTGAAATTCATTCAGCCTTACATGGCAGCATTGGGTGGTGATAAATAGGTGGGTAATACCTCCCTTCAGTCAAGCAGTTTGTGTGGTATGAAGCCAGTCATGTTTTCTGTCTTCCAGAGGAAACAATGGTTGTAATGCTGTTGGACTGGGGGCTCTTTTAAAATCTTAATAGAGAAATAAGAAACACTGCTGAACAAGCATGATTTATAAAGTAGATATGGATTAGTTTACCATTATTAAATACCATAATTAACCTAAAGAGCTGACTTCCTCACTGAGGGAAATTGGTAATATAACACAGCAAAATGAAGCGTTCACTTTTCTTATGCTGAAGCAGATTGAAATAATGGGACATAGGACAGTAAGATTCTTAATGTGAGAGATCACCACTGTTTTTTTCAAATACAGTCAAGGCTTATAGCATCTAAAGTATTTATGATCTGTTGTCTGGTAATCCAAAGGAAAGAATGGACCAAGTTCAGCTTATTACCAAACTACCATTTCCATAATGAGGACCAATCTACTCTCATTCTTGTGGTTGTTATTAGGAGCAAGATTCAAAAGAATGGACAGGAGAAAAAAAACTGTGTCAACACTGAAAGTAGCCATCATGTGTAGAATAATTGAGTCTGTTTCATTACCTTAAATCTCTGATTTCTGCCATATTGAGATCACTACTGACATTGGCACCTACTTCAGTCCTCACTTGTATTACCACAATTGGCAATAAAGCATATTTGTTGTTAGACTACAATCTACCTGCTTAGAAAAATTCTGCCACCTTTTTCCACCCACTAAAAAACCCGTAATCAAAGCATACTACACTTGTTTGCCTTTTAGGGTTTTATAGGAAAAATCATGGTATAGAAATCATTGCGATTTCCTTTCAAGAAAACTTACTAAAAAGCAGACATTTAAAACTCTTGCTCTTAAACAAAAACCCACTGTAGAGTACCTTTGTTCCCCTAACTATTATATTTCTCCTTTTAGATGACAATAGCAGAACCCAGAGGCCACGTTCTAAAGTGGGGTTTTTTCCCATTTATAGAATCTGTTTATTGGCAGAAATGATGAGTTTTCTCCAGGTTCATCAAGTAGACATTCTGATAATGTGTTGTACTGTATCTGCCACCTCAAGTCATGCAGTCCTGTCTGTGCAGTGTGTTAGTAGTACCCACTTTACTGACCTTCTCTAGCTGTCACAGCTTTTGTGCATCTACATAGACACTGTACTGGGTGACTTGATGTTTTTCTGG